CGGGGGGGGCGCGGGTGGGTCCGGGGTTGTCCCCGCGGTTTTCCCCGGTCGGGGGTGAGGCCGCGTGACCCCCGCCATGTGCGGACGCCCCGCCTGGAGCCCCTCCGGGATCCCCCCGGGACCCCCCCCCCGGGCCCACGCGGGGCCGGGACGGCGGCGGGGGGGGCGGGGCCGGGGCGCTCGGGGCCGCGCCCCTTTTCGGCGAGGCCACGCCCCTTTCCCCGGCCAGGCCACGCCCCTCCCCGAGGCGCCGCCGTCCATATATGGGCATGGCCTGAACGGCGCACGCTGATTGGTCGGGGCCGGGCGCGCGCGGGGAGGGGCGGGGCGTTGGAGGGGCGGGGCGAAGGGGAGAGGGGTGGAGATTAAGGTGCGTGGGCGGGGCTTTGAGGGGGAAGGGGCGGGGCTTGGGGGCCCCGAAGTGACCCCGAAACTCCCACAAGTGACCCCCAAAAGTCTGGCGAGGGACCCCAAAACCCCCCCTAAGGAACCTCAAAACCCCCAAAAGTGACCCCAGAGGGTCCCCTTAATGTCCCCAAAAGCTCTGTAATTGTCCCCGAGGGTCACAGATTGTCCCCAAAGAGCCTGTTGGGGTCTCCAGGGGTCTTAGAAGTGTCCCCGAAGGGTCCCCTAAATGTCCCCATAGATCCCTAAGGGCTGCATAAGTGTCCCCGGGAGTCCCATAAGTGTCCCCCAAACCCCCCGTAAGTGACCCCCAAGGCCCCATAACTGTCCCCCCTGTCTCTCCACAGGCCCGGGCGGCCCCGGCAGCGTCGCCGTGACCCCCCTCGCCGGCAGTGCCCCCTCCCCGGCGGTGCCCCCTGCCCGGGCCGTGCCCCCCTCCCCGGCGGTGCCATGCGGGGCTGATGGAGCCCAACGCGTTCCCGCAGCTCCAGCTCTGGTGCCCGCGGCCCTTCGGCACCTTCTCCCAGAACAAACCATGTGCCCCCTCCCCGCCCGGACCCCCCGCCCCTCCCGCCGCCGCCGCCGGAGCCCCCCGAAAACCCACCCTGGGCGGCCGCCCCTCCGAAAACACCCCCCCGGACCCCCCACCCGCCGAGCCCACCCCCGCGGCCCCCGGCGCCCCCGAGGACGGGCGGGTGCTGCTGGACACGTGGTACGTCATCAAGCCCGGCAACACCAAGGAGAAGGTGGCGTTCTTCGTGGCCCACCAGTGCGGCACCGGCGGCGCCGGCGGCACCGCGGGCGGGGGCCGCGCCAGCACCATGAAGGTCAAGGGCAACTGGGGCAGCGGCAGCTCCAAGGCCAAGCGGCGCCGGCGCTGCCACGACCCTCCCCGGCTGGGGGGCTCCGGTGACCCCCCCCGGGACGGCAAGGACAACAACGCCGGGGGCGCCGGGGACGCCGGGGACGGGCAGGACCTGCTGTCGGTGGCGGAGATGGTGGCCCTGGTGGAGCGTCGGGCGGCCCTGGCCCTGCAGAGCCTCCCCCGGCCCTGCGGCGGCGGCGGCGGCACCGCCCCGGCCCCGCTGGTGCTGCTGGAGGCACCGGGCGGCCCCGAGTGCCGGCGCGTGGCCGCCGCCGTGGCCCAGTTCGAGTCCCAGCAGCAGCAGCAGCAGCAGCAGTGCCAGGAGCGACACCGGGACCCCCCCGCGGGGGCGCGGCCCAACGGGCTGTGCCGGGGCGGGGGGTCCGAGTGCCCACCGAGCGCCGCCAATGCCGGCACCACGGCGGCGGCGGCGGCGGCGCCGGGCGAGGTGCGGATCGCCTTCCGCATCTCCAGCGGGCGCGAGGCCGGCGGGGCAGCGGCGGCGGCGGCGGCGGCGGTGATGGAGCACCACCACGGCGCCAAGGACCAGATCACCTGCGACCTGTACCGGCTGGTCAGCCCCAACCGCGCCGGCGTCGGGCTGCTCCTGGCGGCGGCGGGCGCCAAAACCGGCGGGGACGGCGGCGGGGACGGCGGCGGCGGGGACGAGGCGTCGCCGCGAAGCGCCGGAGCGCCGGAGCCGGGCGATGTCGGCGTCGCCGCCGCGGAGGGGCCGGTGCGGGACTGCGCCTCGGGCTTCCACGTGGACGTGGTGGTGACGGGCGTGGTGGACCAGTGCGTGTTCTTCGGCAAGGACAGCGCCAAGCAGGTGACGGAGGAGACCGTGCGGCTCCCGGACGAGCCGCCGCCGCCGGGGCAGCTCTTCCTGCTGCCCGGCCCCGTCCAGGAGCCGCCGAGCGGCGCCGGCCCCGGCGCGGAGCCCGGCGGGGACCCGGCGCTGTGCCGGCTGTACCGCCACGTGTCCCACGACTTCCTGGAGATCCGCTTCAAGATCCAGCGGCTGCTGGAGCCGCGGCAGTACATGCTGCTGCTGCCCGAGCACGTCATGGTCAAGATCTTCAGCTACCTGCCCACGCAGGCGCTCGCCGCCCTCAAGTGCTCCTGCCACTACTTCAAGTCCATCATCGAGACCTTCGGGGTGCAGGCCACGGACTCGAGGTGGAACCGGGACCCCCTGTACCGGGACGACCCCTGCAAGCAGTGCAAGAAGCGCTACGAGCGCGGGGACGTGTCGCTGTGCCGCTGGCACCCCAAGCCCTACCACCACGACCTGCCCTACGGCAGGTCCTACTGGATGTGCTGCCGCCGGCCCGACCGCGACGCGCCGGGCTGTCGGACGGGGCTCCACGACAACAACTGGGTGCACCCCGCGGGCAGGAGGGAGGAGGGCAGGTGAAGGACGGACGGACGGACGGACGCGCG